AAAATACTGTAGAGAAATCAGATTTGGTCTAAACCCATATAGGACTTTCAAAGGATCCAGCAAATTTCAAAAGAGGAGAAGCTGCTGGATTTCATGCATGATTCAGACTGCAACTGTGGACTTCAAGTTGGCATTCTGTCTGTGATGTTCGTTGAGACCATCCATGTGATCGGTTGCAGTGGCAGAAATATAGAATAATTGTTCTAGATCACATTCATGGTCACTTAGTGTCATTAATGAACTGTGTGCAATACGCCATCTTCAGCATTGCGCATATGCAGAGGTGAGAAGACTGCAAAATGAATTATTTTTACTGAACTGAGTATGTCCGGTATATGCAGGTTTAAAGGTTGAAAAAGATCGAAGAAGAATTAGGGTACTGACTTGTTCCCCCTGGGTCAGTAACATAAACAGAATTAAAAGGTGGGCTCTAACACTGCTGTAAATGATTTCTGGCTTCTGCCTTTGCATACTGTAGCTGGTCATGTGACCAGGTCTGAGGGAGACAGAATTCTGTTACTACATAGTCACCCGCAGCAGGAGGCCTCCACCCCACACCCCCGCATGGAGCACTGCAGCTGCACATCCAGTCCAGTGACCTCTGCCAGCTCCATGGCTGTCCACCGGAATTGCCACGCGCAGGTGACAGCGCTGAGTTGGCAGCAGTGGTCAACAGGCCTATTGTGCTGCTTGGTATGGGGGGGGGGGGAATTAAACCTGCCTCACTCGTCTTGACTGCACAGTATACCACACTGAAAGAGACAGGAACACCATGGCGGAACATGCCAGTGGAGACCGCAACATCATAGCGTAACTGCTTAACAGAGACAACGTTGGTCACAGCTTTGAATCACCTTACAACCAGGGTGAGTTTTCAGTCATCAGCTGAGACTCCGCTTCTGCTCAATGTCACCATTGCTCATGGTGCTGAACCCAGTGTGATACCGGAGGCTGTGAAGGACTCGCATGGTGAGCAGGGGCTGAATTGAGAGGTGTTGTATAAGTGCTAGGTTAAAGGGAGAGTGGCCTACAGGGGGTGTATGACCCTAACATCCTAAACACTGCTCAAGGTTCAGGTGCCTGGTCAGTCCTCAGCCTGGTAAGCCCTTCTTCATCTGCTGTAGATCACAGCACTCAGCTCACTCCCCTCCTCATCCTCCTCCAGAGGTATGGCAGGAAGCCGCTTCATAGTAGCCCCTGTCTTCCTGAAGGTCCTCTGTACAGCCAATATCTGCACATGAGTATGTGATAGGCACTGCTGGCTGAACACAATTTCAATTTCAAATTTATTTATATAGTGCATTTCCACAATACTACATTGTCTCAAAGTGCTTTACATTATCCCTGCCCAAAGCCCCCAGTGAGCAAGCCAGAGGTGACAGAGGCAAGGAAAAACTCCCTAGAAGGAAGAATCCTCGGGATGAGCCAGACTCAAAGGGGGTCAGACACAGGCCAAAGGCAGATCTAGGTGATGCACGGAGTTCATGTGACTGACAGATTTTGGAACTGAAGTTTCCCTGACAGAGGTATACACACTAGGGTGTGTCCTGGGGTTTTAGCAGGACCCTTGGTGGGTGGGGCCAAGGTTCTCTGAGTATTCAATGAGCAGAAGGTACTCCAAGCTGTGCTTTTAGGGCAGCGGTTCTCAACCTGTGGGTCGCTGCCCCTTTGGGGGTCGAATGACCCTTTCACAGGGGTTGCCTAAGACCATCGGAAAACACATATTTCCGATGGTCTTAGGAACCAAGACACCGCTCTATGGTGTTTAATTAGTGCCAAAACTCGCGGGCATAAAAACGATCTTCTGTACGTGCTCGCGTATGCACAGCACTCGCTTGCTCACTCAACGTTAAATTAGTGCCAAAAGTCGAACCACGCGCACAGCTGAAAACCCATACTCTCTATACGCTCAGGTTTGCTGGACCCTACTGTATCTACACGCTCACATCTGCACAGCACTCGTTCGCTCGATAGCACTCGCTTTGACACTTTGGAGGCGGGAACAGTGGCCAATATCTCCGCTCCTTTGATTGTTTTTTTTTAATATTGATTACGATTGGCTATTTGCTTTGGTAGAAGATTAACACGATTTTGCACAAATCATGAAATAGTTTGAAGTGCAAAAATAATTGGTGTGCATCGTTGTCTATGTACTGTAGTACTGGACAGCCCGATTCTGTCATTAAAAACGCCCCACCTTCCTTTAAAAGTTATTAAAGCCATAAAACTGAATATCGAATATGAGGCTAACTTAACTGCGGTCAGTGACAAGTTATCTTCATCTTCTACCAAATCCGATCTGATGAGAAGGAAGCAATCTCAACCTTCTCACTGACGTTGACTTTTTACGCATACTGTCGCAACATGTAGCAATGTAGTTTACTGTTGTTACAGTATATTAAGACTGTTACCCATGCTACACCATACTTCAAGACAAAATTTCATTTATTTGTAATTAGAAATAAATATTTCAAAATATATAATTACATATTGTTTTTGTGATTAATCACTATGCTTTAATTATGTTCAATTTGTAACAATGGAAATACATCCTGCATATCAGATATTTACATTACGATTCATAACAGTAGCAAAATTACAGTTATGAAGTAGCAACAAAATTTTATGGTTGGGGGTCACCACAACATGAGGAACTGTATTAAAGGGTCGTGGCATTAGGAAGGTTGAGAACCACTGTGTTAGGGTGACTGAGGATTCAGGGAGAGTGGAGCTACAGGCTGGGCTCAGCGTAAAGGCTGTTTATACTGTGATTTGTTCTCCTGTTTCATTTCACTGTGGTTAAATGGGGTCCAGACCATTCAGTGATGCAGCACCTTCTGATATACCTTTCAGGAATGTGAGCTGGTGGTGAATATTGTGCTTGTGCAGCTCAGAGACCCTGGGGTAAAGCCTGCATTTTAAATGTTAATTGCTGGCTTTTGAGCTCTGATGAGTGTGTGACCTCATGGTCGATGTGATTGGAGATCCTCACTTTGCAAGCATCCGATCCTGTCTGAGGCTCACAGAAAGTTCAACACGAACACGCATGGGTACCCTGTTCTGAGTTTAACGAGCAGGAAAAAATATGCTAATGAAAAAAGTTGTTGTATTAATTACTATTAGTTATACTGACATTGCCAGCTGTATTGTTTAGTTCAATCAGACCAAGGTGTTTGTATAAATTAGAAATGACCACAGCAGGGATTGTGATGATATACCCCATGCTGGGGAGTTGCAGAAACACCGTGTTTATGCAGGAATTACTCGTAATGGAGCTTTACTTTAGTAGTATGGTCTTCTGGCAGACATTTCCACCTGTAATGAATGTTTTTATAAAAAATACAATTCATTATTTACGCCGCCTGTCCTTTTTCCTCAGTGGGGTAACGCCATGTTTACCCCGCCTATACTTCTTCCTCAGTGTGGTAACGCCGTGTTTGCACCGCCTGTCCTTTTTCCTCAGTGGGTTAACGGCGTGTTTGCGCCGCCTGTCCTTTTTTCTCAGTGGGGTAACACCGTGTTTGCTCCACCGGTACTTTTTCCTCAGTGGGGTAGTGCCGCCTGTCCTTTTTCCTCAGTGGGTTAACGCCGTGTTTACGCCACCTGTGCTTTTTCCTCAGTGGGGTAACGCCGTTTTTACGCCACCTGTCCTTTTTCTTCAGTAGGCATAGCGCCATGTTTACGCCGCCTGTCCTTTTTTCTCAGTGGGGTAACGCCGTGTTTACGCCGCCTGTCCTTTTTCCTCAGTAGGCGTAGCGCCATGTTTACACTGCCTGTCCTTTTTCCTCAGTGGGTTAACACCGTGTATATGTCGCCTGTCCTTTTTCCTCAGTGGGGTAACGCCGTGTTTACACCGTCTGTCCTTTTTCCTCAGTGGGGTAACGCCGTGTTTACACTGCCTGTACTTTTTCCTCAGTGGGTTAACACCATGTTTACGTTGCCTGTACTTTCTCCTCAGTGGGATAATGGCACGTTTACGCTGCCTGTCCTTTTTCCTCAGTGGGGTAACGCCGTGTTTACGCCACCTGTGCTTTTTCCTCAGTGGAGTAACGCCGTGTTTACGCCGCCTGTCCTTTTTCCTCAGTAGGCGTAGCGCCATGTTTACACTGCCTGTCCTTTTTCCTCAGTGGGGTAACGCCGTGTTTACACCGTCTGTCCTTTTTCCTCAGTGGGGTAACGCCGTGTTTACACTGCCTGTACTTTTTCCTCAGTGGGTTAACACCATGTTTACGTTGCCTGTACTTTCTCCTCAGTGGGATAACGCCATGTTTACGCCGCCTGTCCTTTTTTCTCAGTGGGGTAACGCCGTGTTTACGCCGCCTGTCCTTTTTTCTCAGTGGGGTAACGCCGTGTTTACGCCG